GAATATCCGCAACCACGGTTATCGAAGACCAGCACAGAATACATCGGAGCAAGGCTTCGCACTTGAAAGTCCCAGGCAAAGGAGTTGGTATTAAGGCCATTTATCAGTAGAACGTGCTTCGTGAGCAGGTGAGAACCCAATATGCTACGCAAAAGAAAGGTACCGACTTTGTTGCCTGTTCCGTGTTGCTCGTAATAAAGTGAATGAGACTCGAGAGGGGGCGTCCCAGAGTGGACGGGACAGAAACCCTTTCTGACCAGACTAGAGGGGTCAAACATGGTCGGATATTGGGCCATGTCCGGGGAGCCTTGCAGCAACGGCTCCGATTCAGAGGCCATGTTCAACTTTGATGTTGTGGCAGAAAGGCCCAAGCAGGTGTGTATATCCCACGCTGTCAATGTGCAGATCCCTCCGTCTATTCATTTGCGATTCATTGAACAGATAATTTATTCTTGATGCCGCGTTATGTGCAGCGCGGGATAAACTAGCTCTGGAGACTTTCTGGCGGAAGACATCGTCTATTCAACCAGTTTCGACGCGTTTTGTCGTTTATTTGATTATTACGATTTGTTGATCGTCAGGTGACCGTGAATCCAGCGTTCACAGCTCTCGTCTCGCGTCCATGTTCGACGCACACGGCCCACGCTGGGATCCGGCTCCCTCCTCGTCTCCCCCATCGTCGCCCACCGCCTATAACGACTCTTCCCCCGCGTCCTCTCCCGGCCACGACGATTCACTACAGGATGAGGACATGCGCGGCGGGCCGTCTGGCGCGTCACCGCCCATGGATCCGTTTGCGGCAGCCGCCAAAGGACCATGGGTCCCTCCTGCTTACGAAAAAGGGGTGAAGAAAAACCGACAGTCCTCGCCGTCCTCTCCGACGCGCAATCGCTCAAAAAAGCCGCGGTTGATTGGCCCAGAGTCATCCTTGGAGACTATCGTCGCGGCCCCGACACGAGTATCTGTATCTAAACTCGAAAGTGAAGAAGAGAAGGAAGCTGCCATCTGGGATGAGGCTAGCGACAAAATGGTTGATAACGGTAATGGAACTGTACAACTCGAGTCAGTGGGCTTCATTTCCTGTTCGTCGTATTAACACCACCTCATACAGGAGCTGCAATTTGTCTACGATCCCGCAAAAGTTCGTAGAAGATTTGCACCACTGGTATGTACCTCCGGAGCAGATCGAAAATATGAACGCGACGCGACAAACGCTCTCCTTCTCCCATCCTCAGCCTGCAACGCGGGACTTTAGCCGCTCCATAACCGCTCCTGCTATTTTGGGCTCACGCGCTGTCGGCTCCGCCCGTCACGATATCCAGATATTCCTTGCTGGAAACCGGATATCCACGATTCCTGTTGGATTATTATCCGTCGACAAGTTGACCGTCCTCAGCCTGAGTGGGTGCACACTAGCTATATGTATGCAATTCTAACCCTATATTGCAGGGGGCAACAGGCTCAAGATCTTACCGCCCGAGATACGGCACTTGAAAAACCTCCACACGTTGAACGTGGCGGGCAACGAGCTCGAATACTTGCCGGCTGAAATGCTCGAAATGAAGCTCAAGCTACTCACGATATTCCCGAATCGTTTCAAGGAGAACTTGGTGCGCTCGTCGTCAGCGAAACGGCCGTTCGATCGCGAGACACCCCGTCGGCGCGTCGGAATCTCTCCACCCTCCCGCAGTGCACATCGTGTCCCTCCTCTGGTTGAGCTCGCACTGCGCTCGCTTTTCTCGACGGACCCTAGGCAGGTGGACGCAGAGCGCCAGATCGCCAGATACTATGTGCTTCCACTCTGCGAAGCTGACGTCGGCCTTGGCTCGCCCGATTCAGACAAGAAGGAATTTCGCCAGGTGATCCCACCGCACCTCCGGCGCATCCTGCATGCTATACATCCGGGCAGCGTGGACATTGAAGGACCCGCTGATGACGATCCACCTAGCCTCGGCTCGTGTCCCGGCCCTCACCACCTTCACGAATCGGTGTTCGTGACTCCGGCGGAAGAACGATTCACGTGGGAGACCGTCGTCGCCGGTGTCGACATCGGCGGCGAGGTTTGTGTGAAATGGAGAGGTTGTTTATGGGGTTGTTTGGATTTCTTGGATGTAGAAACACCTGTGGAAGTCGCGGAGATGGATGTCGATGAGGAGCAAGACGTCGCGACCCGCCTAGAGCTCGCGTCGGGCGGGTTCGGAACAGCTGACTTTGAGGACGAGGGATAGCGCATCCGGTTCAAGTTGTACATGCCGTTGGTGGTTTTTTGAGCAGTTTAACAAAGCAGGTCGCTTTTCCTCTCCAACCTCAACTGCCGAAACACAAGTCGAAAATCTCCGTGCATTCTGTTTGATTCAGACCTCAACTTTGTCACTCGTCACTTTTTCAACACCGAACAAAAACCAGTACAAATTGTCTTCGTCGGCATTCGCGATAAAGACGGCAAAAAGGATCTCGACTTGAAACTTGATCCTTTTCGGCATCGAAGCACGTCGGCCCCCTCAGGTTTATCCAACAACGCAAACACGAGCCGGGCTCGCTTCGCAGACTAAGACGACAGCAACGGTTTGGGCAAGTGAAGTTCTAGGTCATGCGGTCTCCCCCCGCTGCGTGCGGGATCCGTTTTCATGATGTGCTGCCTGACTCACTGCCTACGATTCGTCAGAAGGTGCAAGAATTGAAATCGACGTGTGGGATCGAAGTTCTATAGTTTCTCTTGCAACATCTATAAATGTACGGCGCGATACTCAAAGCCATTCTACGGTCTTTCGGGATATCAATGGATCATCAATACAGGGAGGTGAGGATGCGACTCACAGCGGGAGGCTTGGACGATATGTCATATGTTATGCGGTTAATCCCCGCAACCTCGTTGGTAATGCGGGAAGATATGCGGCGCAAGACCTCCGGGGGAAAGACATACCTGCGCGAAGATTCAACAGATCAGATGATCAGAGATATACGAGCACATATAACACACCAGTCCGCGGTCATAAAGTCTTCGGTTTGAACTGCACGAAGGGCGATAACCTGCGTAGAAGTCAGTAATTATATCGCGATGAACGCGGGAAGCAGTCACCTGTTCATATGTACGGAGGTCACCCATCACGCCGACGGCTTTGACAGGTAGGAGAACGGCAAACGCCTGGGCGATCTGGTCGTACAGACCCGCCTTTCTAATCTCTTCGATGTAGATATTGTCCGCAAGTTGTAGGATTTTTACTTGTTCCCGTGTTACGGGCCCCAGGATCCGAATGGCGAGACCTGGGCCTGGGAACGGATGACGTTGGACGAGTGGTGCTGGGATCGCAAGAAGGCGACCGAGCGCACGAACTTCGTCTGAAGATGAACAATGAGTTGAGCAGTTCCTCTACATAAAAATCGAAGATTACCCTTGAACAGCTCCCGAAGTGGCTCGATAAGCTTGAGCTTCATGTCTTTCAGCAGGCCACCGACGTTGTGATGTGTCTTGATGGTAGCGCTGGGACCTTTGAAGCTGATGCTCTCGATGACGTCGGGGTACAGTGTCCCCTGTAGCAGCCACTCGACTCGTCCTTTCGCGGCCGCGCCTTTTTTCTCTTCTTCGGCAGCGACCGCCTCTATTTTGGCCGCCTCCGCTTCAAAAACATTGATGAAAGTGTTACCTATGATCTTGCGTTTTTGTTCGGGGTCCTCGATGCCCTCGAGACGCGACAAGAACAAGTCGGACGCATCGACCACCGTCAAGTTGACGCCCAGGTCCTTGTTGAGCATTTCGTTCACTTGTTGGGCCTCGTTTAAGCGAAGAACGCCGTTGTCGACCATGATGGCGTGAAATCTGAATACCGTGAGCTACTCTGGATTGAAGGGAGAAACGATCAAACCTGTCTCCGATGGCTTCGTGCATAAGCTTAGCAGCGACGGTGCTATCGACACCCCCACTTACAGCCCCAATTACACGGCCAGTCGGGCCACATATTTCCCGAATCCGAGCCACTTCTTTCCCGATGAATTCCTCCTAAAGCGAAGTCAATATCGAACGACCAATATCACATAGAAGAATACCATCGTCCAGTGCCTTTGGCAGCCACATATATTCAGAATGAAACGACCAATAACTTCCTTGCCGCGGGGAGAATGAGTGACTTCGGGGTGGAATTGAATGCCATAGATGGGCTTGGTATTGTGTGCGAGCGCGGCATAGGGTGCCGTCGCTGTGTATCCGATTACATGGAAGTCGGGCGGCGGCGCTGACAGTTGGTCCCCATGGGACATCCACACCTTGAAACAATAAACATTGGGGTAACCGGGATCTCATAAGGACAGACCTGCATTTCGTCCCCAAGCCCTTCAAACAAGGCATCGACTGACGCATGTTTTCCCCCGATCTTTGCCATTTTCACCTGCGCAAACCCGTATTCTCTGTGGTCGCATGGATCCACTTTCCCTTTCATCTGCCATGCGATTTCCTACAAACGATTGGAAGGGGATGTCTCAATTAGAAGGTGATGTCTGAGGACGATAAAGTCTACCTGAAGACCATAACATATCCCCAGAATCGGGACGCCGAGGTCATAGATGCCGGGATCAGCGTGGGGGGAATCTTTATCATACACCGAGTACGGCGAGCCAGACAGAATTATTCCTGGTCACGAATTTACTTGAATGTGCAGTGAATATAAGTCCAAGACTCAGGAGCTCCAACCTTTGGGTTTGAACTTGACATCCTTTAACAGGGTGGTACAAGGCAGCAGCTCAGCGTAAACATTGTGCTCGCGGCATCTCCGCGTAATCAAGTGACTATACTGAGATGGGGGTGAACAAAAGATCCTCAGTGGTGTGCAACATTGGCCAGACCTGCGAGCCGAAATCCAGGATAAGGATCGTATCGAACTGGTCGTGGATCTCAGCCATCTAGCTTGAGTCCTGTTAGCCGGGAAGATTAGATGTGTTGGACGTCCGGACTTGACTCGAGCGAGAAAAAAAAGGTCACGGCGTTACTAGCAGGAAGTGCAAAATGATACACCAAAGGGGAGTCGAACCCCTGCCGCTTGCTATCGGATTACCAATGCTGACTCAGCTTAGGTAAGAAATGGAAGGCAAGCATGATAACCGCTTCACCATTGGTGTGACACCAGCTGAGAAAGTTGTGTAGGTAGGTAGGATGGTTTATGAATTTTCTTGGGATTTTGCGGATTTTTCTGAGTGGTCCTGAGCAGTTCCCAGTGTTTTCTCGCGAAGCGGCATCGGAAAGAAAATGTTAAAATGCACTAAGTCGAGATCAAAAACGGACTTAGAAAAATTTCGTGTCCCTGTGCTGCAAATCGCAAAATTGGTTAAAATGCACTAAGTCAATGTCAAAAGCGGACTTGTGAAAATTTTCCTCCGCTTCTCAGTCGAAAGTGAAAGTACACAGTTCACGAAGGCCGGCATGATTTTCTTATCCTCATTTGCACCCAATGCCCAAGTCGACCTTCAAGCACATGCGAAATGCATAACAAAACAAATTTGGTCTGTTCCTTAGACACGCCCAACACATATCTCAGTCCCTTACGTTGGAGTCTGGATACATTTATAATGTGCTGCTATCCAACGTTTACCTGCTGCCGGCCACAGCCTCAGAGTCAGAAAGTTGCCGAGTTACCTACCCAATTGGGACGTTAGAATGAGTGGTCCATTTTGGGATGACAACAGAGGAGAAGAAAAGAGGAAAAGGTGAAGGACGACCACAAAGCGAAAGAAAAGACAAAAAACTGAGATAAGAACGTCAGCGGATCCATCTTCAATCCGCCTTACTACCGTCTGAGGCTTGTTTGAGGCTGTCGCTGAATATCTTGAGCTTCCAGGGATTACCTGGCCCCGTCGCTGTCACGGTGTTCTGCGAAGCGATGGCGAACGCCGGTGCGTTAGACGAGACACGATTGGAGGACCGACATACTTTCAGTGGTTCGGTTGACAAACCAGCGATCGATCACACTGCACGATTGAAGAAAACAGCCATCCACTGCTGTATCTCTGCGCTTACGAAGAGCATCCGCGGTGATTTGGGCTGCAAGCCTGAGGATACTTGCCCCGGAGCTTAAGGTGGCGCACTGAAAATGCAAGAGGCAGAGCGGTGGGTGTATCGCCAGGCAAGGTCTACCGGGTGCACCAGGAATCGAAGAGAATTTTGGAGCCCCAGAGGGTCCAAGGTGCGCATGGAGTGTAGACGAGTACGAGATATGCCAGTGCCCAGAACTTGAACTGGTCGCTGCCACATTAGTAGTAATTGCACCTTAAGGTCAAAGTGTCTCTGCATAGGCAGTATTAGGCAAGAATCAACCGCATTCATTAGCGCCAGCTGTAAAGGACTCGATGAGGAAAGCCGAGAGTACTAACAAGGTCGTTACGATGACTTACGATGAGGAGTTGAAGGAGCGACGGGATCAAAAGTATATGTTCCCAAAATGGACTCCGAGTCTCTCAGTACGACTTTGTCTTGGTCGTTTCCTTTGTTCTTCTTCATCGTGGGACCAAGCTAAAATGCGGCGCTGCTCCGGAGCTTCCCCAGCTCCTCATTGCCAGAGACATGCAGCTGCCGTTCAGTTTATCGTACCTGATCTTCACTCCCAAACATGTTCGTCTCCCGGGTGATCAATTCCAGCACCAACCCACTCGGGCCAAGGCAACTTCGTAAAAACCTTCGTTTCGGTCTCCGAGTTCCTCTCATCGATAACCCAGGACCCCAACTCGTTGGCCTGCCCGCCTTGTAGCCGGCACCAAATCCCTCAGGACATTCAGGTCCGCACGCAGGCTGCGCGGCTTAGCCTCTTCTCCACCAGAAGAGGTAGCGCAAGATGAATCTGACCACGACATGCAATGAGCAGCGAGGTTCGTTATTGACGCAAACTGAGCGAAATTTTCCAACGTCCACTTCAGTAAAATTGTAAAGTTTGGCGAAATCTCATTCGGCATATGCTTCAGGAAGAAAAACTACCGTCTCAAAAGCAAGGAAGTACATAAGATACAGGGTGTCAGCCTCGAATGCTAGGGAACTATGGGTGGAGCAGAGATAAATATGCAGTGAGAATTGTACGATGTGGGGGAAAACAAGAGAAAAATTGAACGTGATCATGACGATTCGGATGAACCAAATGCACCCATCTCGGTCACTCCCCCTCCGCCGGTGAACATAGCCTTCAGCGTTTGGTCATTTCTCCTCTGCCTCACACGCTCCGCCTCCTCCGCCCCTCCAGTCATCTTGAGCTTCTTCCCTGCAACAAAGTCGCTCAATTCCGCCTGCATCTCGTCTGACCTGCTGGCGAGCTCCTTTTCCCGGCTTTTCTGGCTCGCTTCGATGGCCTTCATCCGTTTCTCAGGATCTACAGACGCGCCTCGGATCTCGAGCATCACGTTGCTCAACCCACCGTGTCCCTCTTCCGGAGGCGGGGGACGGAATCCTCCTCCTTTCCGTCCGCCGCGACTGCCGACGGACCCAGGACCCCGGATGGAGATGATCTTTTCCACGTGCCCATACACCTCGACTAGAGCCTTGTGGTCCTCCAGCAAATCTTCGAGGAATTGCTCCTGGTGAGTGAGGAACCCCTGCTCGTCGACAATGTTCTGCAACTCCTCCTCCCAAGTCTTCTTCCACATCGGCTTGATCGTATTGATATGCTCCTTCAAGCTCTCCAACTCGGTCGCAACAGAGTCGATATCCTTCTTGATGTTTCGGAAGTACTGCACTTTGGGAGTGATGTGGCGCTTGATCACGTCGTCCTTCACGCCCTCGACGGTGTCTTGGAGTTTCTCCACCTCTGTCAACACGTTCTGACTCCGCGTATCGAGCTTCTTCTTTCCGGTGTCGATGTAGCCCCGAGCCCCGCCAACGCTGGTGCTTGCAAGCTGCTTGACGGACTGCGTCTGTCCGCGGAGCGTCCCCAGCGAATCCTTGGTGGACTTCATAAACTCCGTATACAGCTGCCGCATAACCCCCAAGTCGCGCCGCAGGTTCTGCACCTCGTCGAATTGTGTTTTCAGATCCGAGACGACGCGGGTGGAATAATCGGACAACGAGCCGCCAGTCATTTGAGGCTGAAGAGATTGACCCGTCATTTGAGGGTGAATTGCGGGCATCGGGGCCGCCGCCGCGGGTGGGAAGGAAGCGCCGTCTCCAACAAATCGCGAGAGGCGGCGAGCGACGTGCTGGAACTGGCGGTCGGTCGGTCTGTTCGGCGCAGGAGTGCTCTCCGCTAACGGTTGTCCAACAATGCCAGGCACATGTATAGACTGCCTGTTGTTATGGACAGCCGTCTTGAGTTCTTTGATGTCCTGCGACAGATTCGAGATTTGGGCGTCGATGTGTTGTTTGATCTGGTCGAGGGCTTTGAAAAAAGATGATTAGGAACGGGAAAACGGGCTCGAAGAGGTGACGCACGCTCAATGTTCAGAGAGAGCAAACACTTTTCTTTGACCTCTTCCATGTCTTCCAGCTCATACTGCACGCCGCTTGACGGATCACGAATGTAGATGGCCGGAAAGTTCTCGAGACCCGGATTGTACGAGAACTTGTCAACGAACAATACCCGGAGCGAGGCGAACGATAGGCCATGCTCCATCGTCACTTTCTTCACTTCCCTCCCAAGTTGTAAGAAAACCGTGAATCGGGAGTGGTCCCGCGTTGGTTCTACCGCAGGAGGGGGAGCATCAACCACAGGCTGCTCGGGAGGAGCTGACACTGTCGGGATCACAGGTTCGGGGGTCCGCGCTGGAGTTGCAGGAAGCGGTGGTACGGGAGGGGTGGAAGCCTGACGTCGTTCAGGTGTAGCGGGACTTGTGCGTGACCTCGAATTGCTCCTCTGAAGAGGAGGCTCCGCTGGCTCCTCATCGTCAACCTCTGTGAGTACGGCAAGATCCCCAGGCGTTAATGCTGATGAAGCAGCCAAAGACCGCCTGTTCGCAGCACCCGCTCCAGTTCGCGTCGACCGCTCCCGCGTAGTCGGAGCACCGGTCATCTTCGATATGTTATAAGTCGAAAAGCGCTTCGACGCTCTACGTTCCAGCGTATCGCTCTTTTTAAGAGCAGCGAGAGAATTTGCCATAGCGGGTGCCTGAAGAACGTCTATGGGCGGCGTCTCCGGAGGAGGGGGAGGAGACATTGAGCCGTTAACTCGGTCAGGATCCGGACTTGGACTCGACGGTTCCACCACTACGGCAGGCGTGGCGAGAGGTTTATCCACTAGCGAATAACGCTTTACGCTCGCTGGAACGTTTGGCGTAGCGGGGAGCATTACTGTTCGATCGTTTGGAGAGTTGGAAGGATATTGCTCTGTGTCGGCGGGAGGCGGGTCGATGGGGGGCGGAACGGTTCGCGTTCTCCGCGATTGGGAGTCGGTCTGGGGAGTATATTCCGGCTGAGGATTAACCTCTGATTCCGTCACGGTGGGCGCAAAACCGCCGACAAAAGCTTGATCTCCGTTCATCGACCCATTCAGCGACGAGGCAGTGAATGACGGTGAGCTAGGATCCTTTCGTCTACTAGACGACTGCTGCGTACTCTTACGCGAGGAAGCGCTGTCCCTGTCTCGCAGATTGGTGGTTGGCGTCGGAGGACTCGGAGTATCATTCTCGTTAAAGTTCGTCCGGGAGAGCTGGGATCGATGAGAACCCTCCCGGCGCGAGCGAGACGAGCGACTGACTGCGCCTTCGGATCCCGACTGCTCAGACCGCCGATGGTCAGAAACTATGCGTCGGTATATGGACTGCTTTCCGCGAAGGCCTTGCAGCAGATTCGTGATTATCTGGCGCACAGTTGGAAGATAAAGTTCCAGGTTATCTGGAGTAGCGTCCTCTGCAAGGCATTGCTCCAGAACATTTCGTAAATCGTCGGGAACGGTCATTAGCTCGCTAGAAAAACCTATCAACGAATACGAATAGGTGGAACGGTATGGCACATACGCCATGTCAATATTGAAGGCCGCAAATGCAGCGACAGCAGCATTGAAGTCGTTCCCCAATCGTACATACACGTCGCTCACATTGGTTTCGTCAATCTTCAGTAAACTCCATTGCGTGAGCGCCTCCAGCAGTTGTTTGATTGCCACCAGCAGACGAGTGACCGCAGACTCGACAGCAGGCTTGATTCAGAGGTT